CTCCCTTCAGAACGAAGCAGGAACAAGCTCTTACAAGAGCTCAGTGATTATAGCAAGGGAATATGCCTAGCATAGCAATCCCTTGTAGCAGATTCCCCCAATAAGAGACAGGACTCAAGTTGAGGGTAAAAATAGAACTCTCTGGCTGCTAGCTTGCAGCCCTTTTTATTAGGTGCTCCCATGAAGGGGAGGGACACACACAGTAACGTACATTAACCAATCACACAATAGTTACATCCCACACATAGCCCTCCCCTCTACCTGTAAACTAATTATCTGTACACACAGGGAAATACAATTATCATAGGTAGGGAAAATACAGTTTTTACACAACATTCATAACTCCCAAAATATACATCACATTCGCATAAAAATACATATTCGGGGAATCATATTAAAAAATGGCATGAATCAGACCAGGGGTTCAAAAGTTAGTAAAAGTATCTTTTGTTCCCCCTGGCTCAAACAGTAAAAGTAAAACATCCCCACAATGCATCCTGGCTTCCTCCCTTCTGCCCTGGAGATAATTGGAGAAGGAATCTAATTATCTCCAAAGACAGAGCCAAACTCCATTACCCACATGGCAGACAAAAGACAGTAAAAGACATAAAATTACATACTGACACATTTAGTACATAAAACACACATTTCTACATATCCCCAGATAGCTTGGATCTGACTGCACATTATTAGATGAATGGCACTCAGATCACACGAATAAGCCTTTCTGCAGGGAAAATAAACAGTTTAACCTGCAGGGCCATAGTCCAAAGGCAAGAGGCGGGCAAGCAGCCCCCTCCAAGGACACGTGGCGAGGTCGGTTTTGCCACACTTCTCCCCTTTGCCCCCCAGACTAACAGGGTATCTGACCTCCTGCCGGTCAGTGCCCTGGTTAGTCCAGCAACCCACCCACGAAGCACAAACAGCAGTACAGCCCACCCACAATAAATGTTTACTCCACCTGGATAAAGTAGCAACTTGTCCATGTCCAGGTGCCTCACCACGGCTGTGTGGGGAGCTGGTAGACTGCCTTGGTGGGTTGCTGAGTGGGCAGAGACCAGCGGTACTCTGCCCTGGTGCCAGCGCTACCACCGAAGTAGCCTGATTGGAGCCTGGTTGTGGGAGGGGGAGACCGACCGTCTCCCCTCTGGGTACACAGCTCTGGGGCTGGGGAACAGGACCGACCGTCTCTACCCCTTGGGCTGTAAGCGCAGAGACTACGGTCCCATCTGCACAGTTGCGGGGCTCAACATCTCCCCTTGGTGGGTTAGGCTGCCGCTGGAGAGAGGGTGTAACAAGCTCCTCTCTCTGGACTGTCAACTGCCGCTGGGGAGAGGGGTTAACAGGCTCCTCTCCCTGACACTCTCTCTGCTGGTGGAGAGGCGGACCAGCTGTCTCCCCTTTCATTATTTTGTCCTGCTGCTGGGGTGTGAGACTGACGGTCTCTGCTCCCTGCAGGACACACTGCCGCTGGGGAGGAAGGACGACACCTTCAGCTCCCTGGGGTACACACTGCCGCTGGGGAGGAAGGACGACACCTTCGGCTCCCTGGGTTACACACTGCTGCTGGGGAGGACGGACAACACCATAAGCTCCCTGGGGTACGCACTGCCGCTGGGGAGGAAGGACGGCACCTTCCGCTGGGGCAGCCTGTAGAAAGTCAGGCTCAGGGGAAGGAAACAAGGGAGGACAGAGGCCAGCGGCGCTCTGCCCAGTTGCCAGCTCTTCTGCTGGGGGTCAGGGAACAAAGGAGTTGGCTGGGGAGGAGAAATATCACTTACCTCCCCCTGGTACTCCGGCTGCTGCTGGGGGGGGAGGTCGATGCTCTCCACTTTCTGTAACTCCAGCTCTAGTTGGGGATCTGGGCCGGTTGCCCAGCATCCCTGTAGGGCCGGTGGAGAGATCTCGGTCCCATCTCCACCTGCCTGCAGGGGTCCTCCCAGGACCAGTCTATGAGGTCCTCTACCTCGGGTACCTCTGGTTGCTGTTGGGGAGGGAGACCGGTTGTCTCTTCCTCCAATAACACATTCTGCCGCTGGGGAGTGAGACCGACTGTCTCCCCTCCCTGTAAAACATACTGCCGCTGGGGATCTGGGCCGGGTGCCCAGCATCCCTGTAGGGCCGGTAGAGAGACCTCGGTCCCATCTCCACCGGCCACCTCGGTTTCTTCCTCGTCCCACTCTACCTGTGGCTGGAGTTTCTCCCAACGTGCCCACTGGCCTTCCCTCAACGCCCTGTGTTGTAGGTTCCGGGTCACCATGTCCCACACGAACCGCACGTATTTCTCCTCTGGATTGGGTCCGTAAAACTTCAGGTGCAACCCTACCATCGTGCCAAACTCTAGTACGGAGTAGCTATACGCCATGCTTGCTGTAGCCACTGCTGGTTCCATTATGTTGCTGAAGATAAGGACGCTGCACAACTCCACACGTTACCGGTGTCTCCGAGCTGCTTCTCCTCGCACTAGGATGCCATCCCACCGCTGCCACCAATGTAACGGATCACCTGGCACCCCGACTGGGTACCTCCGTTGAAAGATGCTCCTAGCGCTTCCAGAGGACTCCAAGCACTCCACCAGACACCATAAGCACCGCAGGCTGCAGCTATCTCCCTTCAGAACGAAGCAGGAACAAGCTCTTACAAGAGCTCAGTGATTATAGCAAGGGAATATGCCTAGCATAGCAATCCCTTGTAGCAGATTCCCCCAATAAGAGACAGGACTCAAGTTGAGGGTAAAAATAGAACTCTCTGGCTGCTAGCTTGCAGCCCTTTTTATTAGGTGCTCCCATGAAGGGGAGGGACACACACAGTAACGTACATTAACCAATCACACAATAGTTACATCCCACACATAGCCCTCCCCTCTACCTGTAAACTAATTATCTGTACACACAGGGAAATACAATTATCATAGGTAGGGAAAATACAGTTTTTACACAACATTCATAACTCCCAAAATATACATCACATTCGCATAAAAATACATATTCACAATCAATCAAATGGCACAAATCAGACAAGGGGTTCAAAAGTTAGTAAAAGTATCTTTTGTTCCCCCTGGCTCAAACAGTAAAAGTAAAACATCCCCACAATGCATCCTGGCTTCCTCCCTTCTGCCCTGGAGATAATTGGAGAAGGAATCTAATTATCTCCAAAGACAGAGCCAAACTCCATTACCCACATGGCAGACAAAAAGACAGTAAAAGACATAAAATTACATACTGACACATTTAGTACATAAAACACACATTTCTACATATCCCCAGATAGCTTGGATCTGACTGCACATTATTAGATGAATGGCACTCAGATCACACGAATAAGCCTTTCTGCAGGGAAAATAAACAGTTTAACCTGCAGGGCCATAGTCCAAAGGCAAGAGGCGGGCAAGCAGCCCCCTCCAAGGACACGTGGCGAGGTCGGTTTTGCCACAGTGACTATTTACATTATGAGGTACTTTGAATGAGGCTAGGCATTCCACCCACCTTTTTGTGAGTGGACTGTCTGCCCCATTTTTCGTCTTTTTTTCTATATATATTGTGGGGTTACGCCCCTTGTACCTCTGTAACCTTTTTTGTGGGGTAGTGGTGGTGGTTTCCCCACCCCATAGCCCCTCTCTCTCTCTTCTAAAGCTGCAGATACTAGTTTGTGCCGAAGTACAGCACCCTTTAATCTCAAGCAGATCAATGACTAGAATCTCAATACTGCACAGTGACTGATAAAATATGCATTACAGAGGGTAATGCACTGATGACATCACCGTGCAGTACATGGCTGAACCACCCAATGAAATGAACAATTCCTATAAAAACTGTAGATATGTACAAGGGGGGAAAGAAGTTGATTCCATTAGAGACTTGGAAAATACTTATTGGGGTGAACCAAAATTCAAAGGGGGAAGTCACGAAATTATAAATTTTGATCATTTGGCAGTTTAGCAGATACGTTCCTAAATTGGTACCTTTATGTAGGATTGCCATATTTAAGAATACCAAATTAGAATGCTGTTTAGCAGATAGGTCCTTTATTTGTTATATTTTAACATGGAAATCCTACTTAAAAATATAAAGGGAGTTATCTAATAAACTGCTGAAAGATGAAGGTTTAGTAGATAATTTACTAATTGAATCCCTACTTTAATATCCTTATCAAAATTTGTGGCAGAGATTAGGAAATCCAAATTGCTGAATTGCTGAATCAGTAGAATTAATGATGACATTTTATTTATTCCTAAATTAATTACTCAGGTCTTATACAGAGTTCATATTTAAAATCAAGGGAAGTCACCCTCCTAAATGGTACATTCCACCCTCCCGTCTACCACCACCCATGGGTGGAAGCTGAATATTATTATTAGGGCCCCAATCTGCCACCAATGGGTAGGGTCTGGGGAAAATATTCGATCTAAAATATTAGATCCTTGCTCTATAATGTGTGGGGGACAATATTGGACAATATTAACCCCTTTAATATTATAATTAGGGCTCGAACCCACAGCCAATTGTGGGCCCAACCCACTTATCTGTCTTCCTCCAATTATTTATTTTAAAGTCCCCCACCCGATGCCCATGGATGGGGAATAGGCGGAAACTTTGTAACCCCCCTGTTATTTAACAATCCCTATCCATCTGTTACCAGTCACTAGTCACATCCGGGCCTGGATTTAAAGTATTCAGATCTAAATTGGTATTTGGTTTGGCTTAAATCCGGATCTACTACAGACCTGTAAGGGGATTAACTGCAAAATCCCCATATTGTTGAATAGCATAAATGTCTGATGGTTCTGCTAATGTGTCAACAACTCTTCTTTGGGAGAATTGTATTCTCTGCATAGCTTAAAGTATAGAGGTTCTTATTCACCAAACTAATCTTGATAAAATAGAAACAATATACTTTGATACATGTCAAAAGATAGACTGTAACATACCCATAGTGAATAAACTCCTATAAAATGTGAAATAAATGTATTAATTTATTGTAATGAAGAATGTGTTGCTATTTCATGTATTTTCCTTACCAAAATGATATCGTATGTTGAATCCAGCTGCACCTTTTAGGCTATCACTGTGAAAACGTATTATCACTACGTTTTGCGTAGATTCAATTGGAGGAGGTACAGCAAACCCACAGAATTTGCCCAGAACACGGCCATTTAAGGAGGGTCCATCAATTATCATGACGTAGTCACAGATGCAGGAGCAGGTAAATTTACAATATACCAATTCAATCATAGTGAATTCTAGAGACACCTAGAAGATGAAGACAAACTCAAGGTTACAAGATATATATTTCTCGAATTGTCTTTGATTTGAGTAAAATTCTAAATGAACTCTTTACCTACCACCCTATATAAAGATGTACTGTGTGCTATAAATCTAATGCTATAAATTAAGATAGCATTGCAGGGATAGATTTAAGCAGTTATTTAAAACCAGCTGTGCCAGTAAAAATAAGTTTACAGTCGAAACTGCCTAACATTTAATCGAGAATATTCCTGCCTGGCTAGGGTAGATTTCCTGATGTGGCACATCATCTTCTGCATAATAAGATCTCAGTCTCCCTCCCTGCCTACATTTGGCTCTACACTTCTACTTTCCTATCTTTAGGCATTCACTCCTCCCTCATTTAATTTATATTCATGACATGATATGTAACAGAGCTCCAGTATATCAACTGAGTACTGTTAAGACACCCCTTGTGTCTTTAAACAAAACCGCCGTTTAGTCGACCTTCCCCTTCTGCAGTACCAATAATCTCCGTTCACATAACCGTAGTGCACGAACCAAACTCAGGGGAAGCGGCAATCTCCCGACCGGGATCCGTGAACGGCTCCAACCTCCCGAACTGCTGCTAGCTGCCGAACAATAATATCCACCAAGCGGCTTTCGGTTCCATCCAGCAGCCTCTAAGCGCAAATAATAAATCCCCCCAATAACGAAACAGAAGCTCCGCATTGAGGGTCAAACAGGATCTGGCTTTACTGTGGGCTACCTGCCCGTATTTATGCAGGTCTCCCACTTGGTGGACACTCCCCTAGGGGACCAAATGGGAGACTGAAATGACAGACAGATATGGGGACATTCCAGACACACAGTCACAGCTTTTGCCCACAATGCAATATGGTTTTCTCCCAGCTGCCCTGGAGATAATTAATAAGTAACTCAATTATCTCCAGGACAAAGCCAGTCGCCATTTTAAATATAAAATCAGAAAAGACATAAAAATACATAACTTCACAAAAACCGAACATTTACCATTCGCATCACATATCCCTAGATAGCCTGGGTCTGAGTGCATATTATTAGCGAATAGCGCTCAGATCCCACACACATAGTTCAATCGCCATGGAGTCAAAGTTCTTACAGTCCTTCTGTATACGAATGACTCCATGGGAAGGCTATCTGGGTTAAGTCTTTTCGTATGCTTCAAAGCTCCCGAACGGCCGGTATTCGTATGCTTTCGTGGAGGCAGCCAGGCATTCCGTTGTTTCAGCGGTGTTCGGCAGAAAAAGTGTCAGTTTTTAGTTCCATAGAAATAGAGCCAAACACCGCTGGGCTTTCGCATGGTTTAAAATGTCCACTGCCTCGTGGTCGACATACGAACGACGACCACCCTGAATTCGGTTTAAATGAGAAGTGTCTGCGGTTAACCACAACGTTCTAATTGGGATCAATAGGTTAACTAGCAGCACACTTCTCTCCTGGGTGGCCGTCCGTTCGGTAGGTTTGTTCGGGAAAAACAGTCATTCGTATGGCTGGGCTATAGGAAACAGCCATTTACATGAACAGGATAGAAACAGACGAATACACCTGAAATAACCAAACAGATGGTTCTGTCACAAGTACCTCTGCTAAGTCTGCTTCCTTGTAGCTATCAGGGACCCTGGAGTACTTCAGACCCAGTCGCTGAGGCTTGACTGGGATCACTGAGGACCTTTTCCACCCTTGACCATGCTGCTGTGTTTATAGCACTGGACATACTTTCCATCAGCCGATTTCCCCAAACACCAGACGACACATGGTAAAGGTTAATACAACTCCCTTCAACATACATAGCACACATATTTAAGCCCCCAACAGCCTCATTTAGGGTGAATAGAGTACTATAGTAAAAGGAAGGTGGGATCAGACAATAGCAAGGACTAATGGGAGATTGAGGACACATGACATGTGTGACATGTCATGATTCCCTTTTATTCCAGAAATTTGGTCCTTAAGGGGTTAAACTGGTCTGGTTGTGTCCCTGCTGGGGAAACAATAGGACAGGAAAAAGGGGGAGGGGCAGAGGCCCAGACAAGCAATACATTCAACATACCCTGCACCAATAATGGGCACAGGATGACCAAAACACAAAACGAATCTGGGGACCCACATATAGTGTCTGTCTTCCATCTCCAGTGATGGTGATTACCGTCCCAAAGGTAGACTAACCAGGTACCAGACCTCCAATCGGTCTATGCCTGAGTTAGTTGGGTAACAAGTCCAAAAAAGTCAATCCATTCTGGCAGCATCCACGACACTGTTCAACATACTTTGTAAGTTTGTCCCATTTGGGCGCATGGAGCTCTCATAGCCGATCAGTTCATGGAAGCCAGACTATGCTTCCTGGTCACCCTGTGCCCCTAATAAGCACAGGGTGACTCTTAGACATAAGAGGAGACTTGTAAGTGGAGAAAGGGAGTTCCCAGTGAATCTGACATGCCCCCCCCCCCCCAAACTCAAACCTATCCCCATATGTCTTCACTCTCAGTGGGCCACCATGACACCCACAAACCCCAATAGCAAATCTGGAAACCTTTGTCTCCAGCCCAGGATAGTTTCCAGCACATTTTTTCACCTTCAGAAGGAGAGCAATACAGGAGACCCCAGACGAGTTGACTTTGAAGTTAGTCAGTACAGTCAGCCCACCAAGGCCATCACTAAATTGGTACCCCAAACAAATTCTCCATGCAAGAGCAGCATTCAACCAGCGGACCTCTGCATCTCCTGAAGAATATATGCCAACTGTCCCATCTCCCTGGATCTCTCTCAGCCACTGGAGGGAAGGTAGGTTGGCTGGGCCTCTTCTGTCCTGCCTCCCTGGGGACCACAGCTAGAGACCAAAGTCCCATCCACCTGTACTGGATAGAGATCCTCCAGTGCTTGTGGAGAAGGGATGAGGTTAGTGGTGCTTCGCCCTTGGATCCGCTCTTCTGTGGGGCCAGCTGTATCAGATGCCTCAGGCTCATGGGTTACCAGTGGGTTTGGACAAAGGTCAGTAGTGCTCTGCCTCGATGCCAACACTTCAGTTGGGAAAGTTGCACACTCCTCAAACTCCACATTCACTAGAACGTTGATCTCCTTGCTCTCCAGCTCTGGCATTGCTCAAGATGGGGACAGAGGCCATCGGCGCCAGGTGTACCTCTGCCAGCTCCACCATCACCAAAAGGCTGTCCTCTCTGCTCTCAAATCCCAGCATTGCTGCATGTTGGGGGCAGAGGCCAGCAGCGCTCTGTTCCAAAGCCAGTGCTTCAGCTGGGGAATTAACAAGCAATTTTTGTTTTGCTTGCAGGGAATATTTCTGCACAGTCTCCAGTAGCCTCCTATATCCCTTTTTAGACTCCACTCTTGTTGACTAGATAATCCAGGTCAAACATCAGGGCTGGCACATGATCAAGCATTGGGCCCTATCTTTGTGTTTCTTCCACAGTGAAGGGTACCCCTAGCAGGTCAGCATCCTGGAATTTTTTCTATAATAGTCCCGAACCGCCAAAGCCATAGCCCTCTGGGAACCAGTCACTCTCCAACCCTAAATATTCCTGCTCTGCTTGCCACTGCAGAGCACGGTACCGGTTGTCCAACTCCATTTCCTCCTGGACCAGCATTTTCATTTTGTATACCCATTCCTCCTGGCGCTGCCTCGGCTTGTTGTCTTGTAGTTGAGAGATATTGGTTGCAATATTTTCCTCTAAAAACTGAGGTGCCGTCTCCCAGAGCTCCAAGCATACCTGATTCCTGAGCTCCAAGGTCTCCTCCTCTGAAATTGGTCTGTTGAGCAGGTTAAGTGTCTACTCTGGAATTCAGTTGCTATGGTTGCTCTTGTAGCCATTGCCATAACCTGAAGCACCATCTTTGCTGGTATGTTTGGCCAAAGCAGGAATAGTTTCCATAGTGCATCTTTCAGGAACTCTGATTCCTTAACCTCTTCTGATGAGAAGCTGCCATACTGATGGTTCTCCATTAGGTCTCCCAAGGTGTTCCAGAGGTATCCTGCAAGGAGAAAGTCGATCCCGCAGCTGCCACCAAATGTAACGGAGCTCCAGTACTCCGACCGAGCACCTTCGCCTAGTTTTCTTCCTCGTAGCTATGAGGGACCCTGGAGCACTTCAGACCAAGTTGCCAAGGCTTGACTGGGATCACTGAGGGCCTTTTCCCCACTTGACCAGGTTACTGTTACACCCTGGACAGACTTTCCATCAGTAGACACTTGGTGAAGGTTAAAACAGCAACGCACTTTAATAGACATAGCACCTATATTTAAGCCCCCAACAGCCTCATTTACATAAAATAGGGTGAATAGAGTACTATAAGGAAGGATGGGGTTGTACTCAAGCAAGGGCTGATGGGAGATTGAGGAGGAACAAGGCAGCTAGTTTAAACTGGTCTGGCAGTGTCCCTGGGACAATGTCTTGCTGGGGAAACAATAGGACAGGAAAAAGGGGGAGGGGAAGAGGCACAGACAAGCAATACATTCATCATACCCTGCACCAATAATGGGCACAGGGTTACCAAATCACAAAATGAATCTGAGGACCCACACATAGTTTCTGTCTTCCATCCACAGTGATGACGATTACCGTCGCAATATATTATTATTATTATTTATAAAGCACTAACAAAGTAATTGTAATCAGATGAGTTGGTCACACTGGACCAGAGTGGTTGAGGGCCCTGCTCAATAAACTTACATATTAGAGGGAGTGGGGTAAAGTGACACAAAAGGTAAGGGTAGGGATAGGTTGGTAGAATAGTATTAAAATTAATTTAAGTGTTATTGTTGTAGCAGAAATGCCTCTGCCACATGTTCCTGGAGAGGCCTGCTTGCCAGCCCCCTGCCGAAAGACTATGGGCCCTTTAAAAACTATGTGGACAGACTTGGTTCATGGGATTTTATATTTGGTTCGGGAACCGAACAGGCGCACAAACCACCATGACCACAAGGTGGCGGTCATCTTGTTCCTGTGAACGCAGGCAGTGGTGTTTGGTCGTCGAGTTCATGGAACTGTTTTCGGACACTGAAACTCCTTTACACCGCTGGACTTCCAAGATCGCCTGTGTTTGGTTCTACACAACTTAGAAGGCCACTGTTCAGTGGAAATATTCCCACAAACAGGGTGAACAAGCTTCAGGGTAAGAACATTGACTATGTTCGGTAGTTTGTTCAGTTTTTAAACCACTGAATTAGACTGACTGCAAGCCCTGATTCTCTGGAACTGTTTTGGGCATGGGACCATGCACACAGTCGGTCAAATTATGACTTCCAGGAAATTCCCAAAACCCTGAACCTATCTAGGTGATTTTTGGATATGATGGTCCCTCAGATTGGCGCTATCAAGGGATGTAACTTTTATAGGGGTTTTGTATGTTTAAAGGTAATTTGGGGGTTTTGCAAAAATGTATGTATTCTGTGCCTTGAGATAATTGAGTTTAATACAGTTCTTGACCCAATAATCTCCAAGGCACAGGAGAGGGTGTAACGGATCACCTGGCACCCCGACTGGGTACCTCCGTTGAAGGATGCTCCTAGCGCTTCCTGAGGACTCCAAGCACTGCAGCAGACACCACAACCACCGAACCGGAGAAGCATATGAATCATCTCAAGCATATGAATGCTGTAGACAGTTGAATAGGAACCATACGAATAGGTTTACTCTCCTAGCAGTCAAACTGGAACAGCATACAATAAATCCTTCCCCCAATAATGAGACGACACTTCACTTTGAGGGTTAAGCAGGAACTCCCTGTACTGTCACATACAGTCTCTTTTATTCCCAATCCACAAACATAGTACAGCCCACAGGGCGTTACAAAACAACCAATCAATCCGTACAATACACCCAGACACTCCCACACAAAATCCTCCCCTCTGCAGGTGATATGATTACTGAACACAATGGGTAATCTCATTATCACCGGCAGAGGAATACAGTTTTTACACAATATTTATAACTTCTAAAATATACATGTCACAAACATAAAACATACATTTTCATAATCAATCCATTCAGGGGAACAACATATTAAAAAATGGCACGAATCAGACCAGGGGTTCAAAAGTTAAGGGAAAGTCCTTTGTGACTAAATGAAGCATGGCTTTCTGGCCCAAACCAGTTTCAGAGTCTTCTATCCTGGAGAGTAATTCAATTATCTCCCAGGACAGACACAAGACTCCATTAAGCACATGGTTGCAAAAGACACAAAACACTTTAAAATACATAAAGTCACATTTACACATAACACACAGACATTTCACATATCCCCAGATAGCTGGGATCTGAGTGCACATTATTAGATGAATGGCACTCAGATCACACAAATAAGCCTTTCTGCAGGGGAAATAAACGGTTTAACCTGCAGGGCCATAGTCCAAAGGGAGCAGGCGAGCAACCAGGCTTCTCCAGTTCACAGTGGCGAGGTTGGTTTCGCCACAGAGGGATTATCCTGTTTTGTGTAGGAGTGACCTGAGAGTCAGTGTAAATACAGTATGTACTTTGTCCTAGTCTACTCTCAGGTCCAGTGGGGAATGCCCCTGGGATATGTAAATTAACCCCTTAAGGACCAAACTTCTGGAATAAAAGGGAATCATGACATATCACACATGTCATGTGTCCTTAAGGGGTTAAACCCCTTGCATGGGGACCTGCATTTAAGGCCAATTGTGGCTACCAACAAAACCAGTTCCAGTTTACCCTCCACACAGAGCCTTGTCTCGTGCTCGTAGGGGAAAGCAATACCAGCTATAATCCCTGCTCTTGGGATTGTTCTTTGGATTGCTATCATCACTAGCTCTAATAAGAGCTACATTGCTATACTCTCTTGGAGGAGAGGTCTTCTCACTGGGAGCTGGATCCAGGAGAAGGGATGGTGAGATCCCAGCCATGCTGCGGTGGACCGCCACACTACTCTTCTCTCTGGCAGCTATTTTAGTAACTGTATGCCTCCATTTTCCCCAAAGTTGCTAGACCTTGGGATTATATGTGACCTGGTTTGCTGTTGGGAGTCATGAAATAGTCTTTTGTTTAAGTCACCTAATATAGTTCAGGGTGTGTATTATTGTTAATTGTTAAATGTTTTGAATGCTCTCATGTCTCTCTAATGTTCTCAACCGATAAGGTGGAATTGGCTCTAGAGCCTGCACAGTGTTATCTTGAGTTCCTGTATGTTATCCCACACAGTGCCATCCTTAAGCTGTTACGCCGCCAGGTGTAAAAAATCTTCACAGCTCCCCTCCACCTGTCATACCAATTCACCTATGTATAGTTTTTAATCATGTGTGTAATAAAGGCCAATTTTACAGAAAACACCATGAACATTTGATCATGTCTTTTATCGATCATAGCATGGTTACACTTTGAAATCAAGACTTAAGAGCTTTTATACCGTATGAGCTTTGGTCTTTGTGACTATTTATTGTCATTTAATCAATACTGTATATTTATTTTTACTTTGTCTTGCTTTTTGATGGAACATATTTTTGGGTGATATTTGATGATATATGATCTGCGATTTGTATTTAGGATTTGGGCTTAGACATGTCACACCATATTATTGTAATCAATGTACATCAGTAAATGTATTTCAATAGATTTTTTTACAGGTCTGTTGATAGGCAGCTTAGAGGAACACTGTAGGCATCATAACTGCTTCATCTCATTGAATTGATTGTAGTGTCTAAAGTACCCTGGTGCTGTCCTTCCAATCAGCTTTAAACAGTTTTTAATGTTTCAATTCTAAACAAGAGTCTACAGCAGCCCATCCCTTCTGTAGCATTCAATGAGATGAAATGTTTTTAGTGTCTACAGTGTCCCATTAAAAAGTATAGGTGGGCTTAGTACCTGTAATATTATCTCACCTTTTTACCGGATGGTGCTATTATAATATAAATGGCTTCTTCATTATCGGGATACTGGTTGGGGTATTTTGGTGATCCCACAAACCAAAGATCACGGCGGAAAATGTCTCCAAACTTAACTGCAGATGAAAAATATACATTAACAGTAAATTGATAATTTTATGTTGTGCAAATTGTAGATGTGTAGATGGGTGTTTCTGTCAGGATTACAGAATGGTCCAGAATGTAGAATTGTGTAACACAGAGGACTGATAGGTAACGTATACCGGACCTTAGAATGGCTGGACTAACATACCAAAGAATAGTCAGGAATAGCCGAGGTCAAGGGATACAGAAAGAGACACAACGATAAGGAAAAGCCAGGAGTCAGGGATGCCAGAAAACAGGGAAGTCAAAAACAATGCCAAAGTCAAATAACCAGAATCAATAACACGCTCTTGGACAACCACAAGGGAAACCACGACAGGGCACTGAGCAGGATGAGAACTGGGCCTACATACCCCTCCTCTAGATCTGATAGGCTGTAACCGGCCTTTGACCCCAAAGGCAGTTACCAGGTTCCTGTAGCAGAGAGCTGGTATTATACAGCCTATCTCCCCTTTGGATCCCAGGGAGGCTCAGGAACAGGCAATTATAAATCCATAGGGCAAAGTATCCAGCAGGCAAAATAACACAGCAGTATCCCAACAGCAATCCCAATAACTGGACGACACACAGTATCAGGAGCAGAACTAAAGATTTATTCAGACAGTGGCCTTATAAAGCATGCTCCCATGCAAGGGATGGATTAACAGTCATTAATACAGTAGCCAATCCTGTTCTGGTAACCTCCCACACATCTACTCCCCTCAGCCTGCATCATAATCCCTTTATCCAGGACACCAATTCCCCCCATTTCTGGATGTACCCCTAAACCTAGGGCTACCGCTTTAAATTATACATCCCCTGGTAGCCCTGATCTGGGTGAACAACATATCCCAAAATCACCCAGATCAGACCAGGGGTTCGGGAAATTTATGGAGGGAATAAAATGACCGACCGCGCTGGAAAGAATAGCCGAATGGGGTTCCATGCGATGGGGCCCTGCGGTCGGTCCTGGAATAAGGGAACAAACTACACGAAAGCCTCCAGTTACAGAGACTAGGGAGGATTCACCTGAATCCCCTCGTTCGGTTGTTTCTATCTACCGAACGAGGAGCCGTTCGGTAGTTTGGAACCGAACGGACCGGGCTTGTGCAGGTCTCAGTGGTGTTCGCCTAGTCGAATGTCCGATTTGAGTTCCAGACACTCGACAGCAAAACTGCTGTTCGTGAGTTTTAAAATGGCGGCCGCCACGTGTTCGTTATCCGAATGGCGGCCACCCCCGAGAACAAAGGACTGCTACTCAGCTTGTCATTTACCCGTTCGCAACAATGTTGCAACGGGTAATTGAAGTCACACTTCACACAGGGGAGGTCTGACTGTTCGGTAGTTTCATTCCCTTAGTTTGTTCGAATGATTCTACTGAACAATCAGACGAATACAATACATTTAACACATATAACTTTGCCATTTACACAAATGCAGTCAAAACTTATGCAATTCTCAGGACAGCCCAGTGCCATCCGCTACAGTTCCCATTTGCATAATTGCTGCTCAGCATTAACCCTTCTGTGGATTTGGTTGCTGTTCGGCACAACTTTTCCTGTGTGGACAGTAAATGCCATTAACCACATTTTTATAAGTGGATGAATACGTGACAGTTTCACTGATAAAGGAACTCTTGATGAATATACAAATTGTCATCACCTAATCAATCAAGCCTTAACATGATTTACCCTCCCTGAGATATTCTATGGGCTTGTTTACAACTTTGGCCTCAATTTAATATTTTTGGATACATTTTTACATTATTTACTATTTTTGTATTAACTAAATGTTTTAATATTGTAAAATATATTCTAATTGTTTTTATTATTTTGATATTTTGCTGTATATTGATATAATTTGTGTTATAACAGAAAACAAAGGTGTAGCACTTGGAATATCCTTTAGGAAATGTATATATTGACAAAACGTGAAAAAAACAGAAAGGACTGATAGTGTAGTAGGTTAAAAACATCTCAATAGAGTATGAATAAATATAATTGTGCACTCACACGTTCAGGGAGCTTTAATTCAGCTCGACTTGAACGCCTGGTTGGAATAATTCCCACTTGTAGATATAGGGTGGTGTGGTATCTCCAGGTAATCCTTGTAGCAGTAGGCATCCTCATAAAAAACATAAAAATATATAGTGTAGTATGCTGAGCTAATAGGGTAGGAATATCGGTAGGTGTACACTCACATATTATGAAGCCTAAATTGGGACTCCAGAAATTTTCCACTTTGAATATATATATATATATATAAATATATATGTATATATATGAGAAATAAAAGCCACAATAGTGCGTATCATAAAATAGTGTGTAAAACACAATAAAAGTTATAAGAAAAACCTATTTACATGCTTTAGAGCATAATGATGTTTGCTCAATCCAATAGGCTTAAGTGGTATTACCCCCACCAAGAATATATTTCACTGGAATCCAGCAGCAAAATGTCAGGTCTAGTAAACTATAACTATATGCTAGTGAGTGAGTGTACACCTATTATTATTGCCATTTATATAGCGCCAACAGATTCTGTAGCGCATTACAATATTATGAGAGGGGGATTTAACTATAAATAGGACAATTACAAGAAAACTTACAGGAATGATAGGTTGAAGAAGGCCCTGCTCAAACGAGCATACAGTCTATAGGAGGTGGGCTATAAAGCACATTAGGACAGGAAATAGCAATCAAATAAGGTGGGAGTGAAGCAGAGCTGGAGGAGAGAGTAGAGTGCTGCCCTTTAGGAGAGAGCAAGAGACAGTGAGGTAGAGGTTAGTTTGGGAGGCCATAATTTTTCCTAAAGAGATGGGTTTTAAGGGAGAGTCTGATGGTGGTAGGCAGGCTATTCCATAGGAAGGGAGCGTCCTGAAAATGTGAGCGCAAAATTTTAATTATCCATACCCCATTTAGAAGTTTTTAATCTACCACACCATCGATACTTTCTGTTTTCTCCTTTTTGTCATTATAAACATTACCTAAAGGACATTCCAATAGCTACACCTTTGTTTTCTGTTTTATTCTACCCCTCATCAGACAAGAGACCCTCTGCTTTTGGTGATTAAGCTGCTGTTTGAGTATTTTAGTATTGCACTTGTGCTGACTTTTTTTCTGTTTTTCTTTTCTAATATTTTTCATATGTTAATATTTAGAAAAAAAGGCATTTTAAACGTTTATCCAAAAAGATTAACTCATTTGAAAAGCGTTATGAACAATATTAAATTAAGGCCTTTGTCAATAAATATCTGCTGTAAGCTGCAGATTTTAACAACAGGAGGTAGCTTGTAGTGGCTTCAAATTAACTATATGGAATTAGATGGTAATGTATATCCACTTGGCCAGTTTTATGTTTTGTTTTTTAAAATTAGAAACCAATTAAAATGCATTATCTAGCAGCTCCCATAGAAGAGAACATGAACTGATGGCCGCTACTTAGTAACTTGATTTTAGTAATGTCAAAAGGAAAGTTCCTGTCTACCTGTGAAATTTTGCAGTGGAGAAACAACCACTACTTGCTACCAGTAGTGACAGATTCAGTAAAGCTTTTAGGCAATGAGCTAATCATGCATTGCAGGGCTTTGCTCAGGAGAACTAATGCAATATCTTTAACAGGAACTTTAGGCTCTCCTGGGTGCAGCGAGGAGGTGGGGAATCGGATCTGGCAGACCACAGTAGTTTATTTACTGCATGCTGTTGAGGTTATGGTCTTAGTGTGTTCTTTTAACAGATTTTACATTGCATGAAAGAAGATGTACCTTCTTTATAGGTCACTTTAAATTTGCTTTGAGAAGGATTCTGATTGCTCACAAACTCAATTAACATTTCATGTTGAGTAGAAACTAGAGGGGGTATTATCGTAGACCCACAAGTCTTTTCCTGGAGAACTAGTGAGTCACGGTTGTCACCATCATAAATTTTCAAGTAAGAGTCCATACACCCAGCAGATTGTGGGATATTGATGTTACTGATTTCCAGATAAACCTGAGTACAGAATATACAGCTCAGTTACAACAATGTATATGGAACAATGAGCATGAAAATACATTAATATGAAATATGACATAAGTAGACTCTTTTTAATGTAAAGGGATAATTTATTCATTGTTCTCTGTTGCATATTTATGGGCATTCGGTATTACATCTATTTGAAAGCTATCTATGGGAGTTAATACATAATTTATTCTTTATAATTATAGCAATATGTAGTGGTTGGAGTGATTTTGCATTTATTCTCCAGGGAAGTCTGTGCCTAACAAAGACATTTTGTTTGGTATAGGCATCTTTTGGTCACTGACAGAGATGGAATTCTTGCCGTATTCAGACTATTTGAAAATACCAATGAACAAATTAGAATACAGATATGCATTAAAGTGTTCCATTTAAGAGGCTTTCCCTATATCAGTTGCTTTTCTCAATGTCATGGCTTCTTTTCTATAGTTACATGCAGAACAGAGATTTCCTAGAATGTTAATATGTATATCTAAATTTGCTTCAGAGAGATATTTTCAGTTAAAATGATTTTTAATAATTAATTAGCAGCCCTTGTATATACTAAACATCTTATAATGTTTAATGATTTTTGACATTTCAACTAGAAAGCAATTTGGCATTTAATCCATAAGGTATCTTTCCCAAATTGCATCCAAATGCCTAATAATTGGAATGTCCATGATTGAGATCAAAACACTAATTGTGACGGGAACATTGAATTTATCCAGTTTGTTTTGTATTAACCTTCTGGAAGTGTTTAGCTTGAATAAACCAGACACAGGTTTTGTCTGGTCCAAAGACAATGTTATCAGTTGAGAAAGAGCCAGAAGTAAAATGTGTAAATTTTGTCCGACATAGATCTGAAAAACAGAAAATTTAGATTTTGTTTAAAAAATTTGTAGCAATGTCACAATGTCAGAAATTTACAAACAAACAATGGCTATTTCCACTTCCCTTGGCACATGACATTACCATGTTTTCAATATAACAATTTTGAATGCAGATTAGTTCTGTTGACAGCTTAGAAACAGTATACTTATTAACCCCTTCAGCTGTTTTAACATTTTTGTGGTGTTTGTGTTTAGCTGTAATTTTCTTCTCTCTCATTTACTGTTCCCATATAAGATTATATATATATATATATAATAGCAAACCAGTAACCAACCTCATGCTGAAGAGTTGCATTAACAACGAAACAGCTGTCCATGAGTGGTTCACTGGTTTTGCATCTTATCCTAAATTGTGTTCCAAGCAGTTGTATACTGCAAACACAAATTAAAAGGAATCCATGTTTAAAATGGAATGAGGCAAAAATGTGATTCTTTGTTAAACTAATTTGCATATGCCCACCCAGAATCCTTTGCGGTTGTAACATCACTGCTGATTTGGGATTTCTGTGGGAAAAGCAAGTCTTATGGCTTGACTGGTGTGCAGATTTTTGTTTAGCATTGTATTAACTATCTATATATATATATATATATATATATATATATATATATATATATATATATATATATATATATATATATATATATATATTTATTTTATTTTTTTATTTTTTATTTTTTGGGGGACAAAAGGGTCTTTTTTTATATACCAATACTTCCATCATGTCATATAATTTAATTTAAAAAAAAATAATAAAATATGGTGAAAAATTGGAAAAAAATTATAAAAAGTTACTTTTACTTGAAAAATCTTTTACTCATCTACAAAAGCTAATGAAAAAACAGCTAAATAGAGTCAAGATTTTGTCCTGAGTTTAAAAACACCCAGTGTTTATGTGCTTTTTTTTTTTTTTTGCAAGTTATAGGGCTATCAGCACGAGTAGGCTATTGCTGTTTCAAAACATACATTTTTAAAATGTATCAATAGTGACATTGTAACACTATTATCTGTCATAAATCTCTGAAAAACACCCCACATGTACATATTTTTTTTTTAAAACGTAGACAATCCAGGGTATTCAATATGGGGTATGTCCAGTCTTTTTTAGTAGCCGATTAGTCACAAATACAGGCCAAAGTTAGCATTTATATTTGTTTGCGTGTTAAAAATAAAACAATTATGAATGCTAACTTAGGCCAGTGTTTGTGACTAAGTGCCTACTAAAAAAGACTGAACATACCCCATTTGCAATACCTTTGTTATGGGCAAATGCAAATATTACAAGTTTTAGAATGAAATGTTGTATTTCTTAAACTGTGTACTTTGTCTTTAAGAGATATTGCAAACTGACAAGGTGGTAGAAATGGAACATATTGTTTTTCATAGATGTTTCTTTAAGCAATAACCTCAGTGCATAATATGTTTGCGCCATTTTGTCCCAGACGAATTACAATAACAATAAAGCATAAACAAGCTTTAAGGCTATATTGCAGTACACAATATACTGTGGTAACCCCAAGTTAATGGAACTTCCCCAAATCCGTGAATCTCCCACGACTGTACACTTACGACTTAGTATAAACAACAGATAACCTATTCAGACTTTAAGATGCCATCTTGAACTAAGTCAGGAAAATTTCCATGACGTATACACCCTTTAGTTATGGCCTTGTATGTTTGCCAAATTAAGGGAGGTCCTAAATTGAATAAAGTAAAAGAAGTGTTACTTTTTCATATTTGAACTACAGTAACCTAAAATGGAGACACCTAAGGTATAAATAGGTGTACTTTTAAATGTTAAGACACAGAGGAGAGACTTGGAGACAGATGCTGCTCCATCTTAAAATGACAGAGAGGCTGACATGATGATATGTTCAGAAGGGTATGTTAACCTATTAATGATATTTGCAAGCATGTAATTTAATCTTATAAACTCTGCTATAATGGATTTTATATTCTTATATAATAAATATCCAAAAGACAAAATGATTGCTTCCAAGACAATCCTTATTTTATATTGTATTCTCAATTATTTATATATGTTAAATAGAGGATCTCTTACACTATATAAAATTATGGCTAAGATATCTGTATGGTTAGCCCTACTAAGTTCTATGCTTTAAGACATTATAGTGGTAAATAAGGGAACCACATGCGGTTACACCTTGGGTTGTCTTCTTTTGAAAATGGTATGCCATCATGGGGGTAATTCTCATTCCTGGGCTACCATACGCTGTAAAAGGCAACATAACCAACCTGGCAATTTTCAATGTAAAAATATTTGTCACTTATATTTGACCCTGTAACTTTCAAAAACACTTTAAAACCTGTACTTTTATGTTCAGGAGACTTCATTGAACACAAATATTAGTGTTTGAAAACAGTAAAATGTATCACAACCATTACCGTATATACTCGAGTATAAGCCGAGTTTTTCGGCACATTTTTTGTGCTGAAAAACACCAACTCGGCTTATACTCGACTCAGTCTGTATTATGGCAATTTACATTGCCATAATACAGACTGGGGGCTGGCAGAGCTGTTACTTACCTCTCCTGCAGCTCCTGTCAGCTCTCTCCTCCTCCGTGCCGGTCCGTGCAGCTCTTCTGTCAGCTCACACTGTAAGTCTCGCGAGAGCCGCACTATGACCCCGCGGCTCTCGTGAGACTTACACTGGGAGCTGACCGAGGTGCTGACCGGACCGGCGCGGAGGAGGAGAGAGCTGACAGGAGCTGCAGGAGAGGTAAGTAACAGCTCTGCCAGCCCTCCTCCTACCCCCACTGAACTGCCACTGCCACTGGACCACCAGGGAAGGAGAGCCCCCCTCCCTGCCAGCTATCAAGCAGGGAGGGGGGACAAAAATAAATATAATAAAATATTAAAAATAATAATAAAATAAAAAATAATAATAACAACATATTAATAAAACAAAATAATTATTAAAATAATTTAAAAAAATAATAATAAAAATGCCCACCCCCCACCAAGGCTCTGCAACACACACAAACACACACACAAACACACTGCACTCATACACACACACTGCACTCATACACACACACTGCACCCATACACACACACTGCACTCATACACACACACTGCATTCATACACAGACACTGCATTCATACACACACACTGCATTCATACACACACACTGCATTCATACACACACACACTGAATTCATATATACACTGCACCCATACACACACTGCATCCATACACACACTGCACTCATACACACACTGCACTCATACACACACACTGCATTCATACACACACACTGCATTCATACACACACACTGCACTCATACACACTGCATTCATACACACACTGCACTCATATACACACACTGCATTCATACACACACACTGCACTCATACACACTGCATTCAGACACACACTGCACTCATATACACACACTGCATTCATACACACACTGCATTCATTATATACACACACTGTAAATAAATATTCAATTAATATAATTTTTTTAGGATCTCATTTTATTTAGAAATTTACCAGTAGCTGCATTTCCCACCCTAGTCTTATACTCGAGTCAATAAGTTTTCCCAGTTTTTTGGGGTAAAATTAGGGGCCTCGGCTTATATTCGGGTCGGCTTATACTCGAGTATATACGGTATATCATCAGTGAAAGTGCCATTTGTGTGTGAAAAATGCAAAAAAGGCACTTTCACTGACAATATCATCACTGTGATATGTTTTACTGTTTTGAAACACTAATATTTGTGTTCAGCGAAGTCTCCCGAGTAAAACAGTACCCCCGTGTACAGGTTTTAGGGTGTCATAGAAAGTTACAGGGTTAAATACAGTGCTAGCAAATTGAATTCTCTGGACCTTCGGCATGGGTTGTCAGACGGGTCCCTCAAATTGCAATCAATAAATTTACTTGATTATGTAAAAATATTACATAAATAGGCACTTAGAATTGAACTATATATGCATATTTATATATTTGAAGTCTACGTGTATATTTATGAAATTATGCAATTATGTATATGGATATATATATTTTGTATTATTTAGATTTATTTATATACACATAGACAGGGCCGGCGCTACCTGTTAGGCGGGGGAAGGGGCGCCGCCAGGAGCGCCGGCCCCCCTCATGTTGAAGCCGCCCAAGCGCTCTGTAGAGAGCCTCAGGCGGCTGCAGCTTTGCTCGGGCTGGTGCGTTCCTGAGCCCGGGCACAGCCTGAGGAGAGGGGCTGACAAGAGGGAGTGCTCAGTGCTCCTTCACTGTAGCGTGGCTGAACTCAGTGTGCACTTCCTGTTAGTCCGGCCGGGTACAGGAAACAAAAGCTCCCTGTACCCGCGGATCATACAGAGCTCGGCCACTCTACAACAATGGTAGGAGGGGGGATAAAGAAATTGGAAAGGGGGGGAGGATGGGAAAGGAAATTGGAGAGGGGGAGAGAAGGAAATTGTAGAGGGAGAAGCTAGCGAAACTGAAGAGGGGAGAAGGAAACTGAGAAGGGAGAACGAAATTGGAGAAGGAGAAGGATATTGGAGAAAAGGGAGAAGGATATTGGAGAAGGGGGAGAAGAAATTGGGAGAAGGGGAGAAAAAGGAATTTGGAGAGGGAGGCTGAACTGAG